AAAATAATTTGATAAGCACATTTGCATAATTTATTGTATTTGACAGTCCTAAGCGGTCCTAAGTTCTGACTTGCACCATGAAAATGCACTGAGACCTCATCATTTCACCTTGTGATTAAGTACAGCGACTTACAGCTTCTTATTTAGTTGTCACAATAGCTCTATTCCTGTCTTGTAATTATGGATACCACCTCCTGCTTGGTTCCTGCATATTTTCTGAGCCTTATTCCCCAGGCTTTCTCTTTATTCTACATGCAGTCCTCACAATATAAATTTATGTTTTGCTTGTTTTATCCATCATTGGTTTCTATTGTTTGCAAACAAAAATCCCAATTAACACCTAAGTTTAAAGTGCTATGTAAAATTACTCACAGTAATTTGGAAATTTTTACATTTTCACATAGCAAGGTTATAGAAATATTCTAGGTTTGTATCTTTTTCTGTTTTGTAGCCCAGAATGTTTGTTGGGTTTGAGACACCATGTAAAATACACTGAAAATATGTTGTTTTAAGTTCACAGACAAAACCAAAACTAGATTAAGCAGATGTATTATTTATTTAAGAACGATTTTCTGTTCTGCCAGATTTGAGTTTGAGTTTTATCATCTGGATATTGAGAAATAATAAACTATATATTTTTAGGTAGGGCTGAGGCATATACAAACTAGGTTCTCAGGAAGATTGTAGGGGCATTTATTTTAACTTGTCTTGAATGTGTACAGCACCTAATTGGGAGGAATTAATTAAGTAGGTGGTAAGTGAGATCTGCCTTACATTTAGAAAGGGCAAATTACATAAATATGTTCTCTGCCCACATCCTGATAAGCTATGTCATTAGTATGAGATAAAATCGTAGTTCCTTGGATAAACTTTGCTTCTCTGAATAGTAAGAGAGTGAAGGAATTATGTGAGTGTACGGTGGGCAAAAAAGACTTAACCATGGCCTCAAGAGAATAGAAGAACTGGTGCTAGAAAGATGTAATCGAAAAACCCAGTATACATGCTTCAGACAAGGCCGTATAAAGGAGAGAAGAGAGGACTCCAACATCACCAGAATTTAGTATTTTTCTGTAAAAAGGCCTCTTCAGAAAAAGTCCAAACATGGTTAATATAATGAGAAAGGTTTGCATAAAACTGATGTAACCTGGCAGCCAAGGAGTGTGAACTAGAATGTACATGTGTGAACAATGATGACTTCACTGTACTAGTCAGTGAGGGTGGTAGGCACTGTTGAGTGAGCATGTATACTGTGTGGTCATCACATTCAAAATGACTGAGCAAGTAGAGCAGCAAATCTGCATCAAATTTTGCAAAAAGCTTGAACACTGCTCCGTGGAAACAACTGGGATGATTCAGAAGGCCACACTATGGGGCACTGGTGATTGGCAGCTTCATCACAACAATTTGCTTACTCATGCATCATCTCATGCAGAGATTATTGGTGAAACATCAAATCACCTGGGTGACTCAGTCCTGCTAAGCCCAGATTTGGTGCCTTGCAACTTTTGGCTTTTCTCAAAACTAAAATACCTTTGAAAGGGAAGAGATTTGAGAGCCTTGATAAGATTCAGAAAAATACAATGGGGCAACTGATCATGCCTGGGAGAACTGTGTGAGGTTCCAAGGTGCTTACTTTGAAGGGGACTGAAGTGTCATTGTCCTATGTACAATGTTTCTTGTATGTTGTATTTTCTTAAATAAATGTCTCTATTTTTCATATTGCATAGCTGGATACTTGCTATACAGACCTCATATACTCAAGTGTGTTTTTTCCTCCACTATGTTAGGTCTACTCTCAGATAACTTCTGATTTAGTGATGAACCTCAGTGCCTTTTTCTCACTAATTCTCAAAAATAAAATATTTATTTTTGAGTCTCATCAGTAATGTTTTTGTTATTTTACCAAATCTGGACAAAGACTCTGACAGGCTGGGCTTGAGTCTCATTCTTTTCTCTTGATATAGTGGGTAGAGTAAGTATCACACAAGCCACCTGAAATCAGCATGGAAAATGTTTCTCATTAGAAAAGTCCAAATTGTGGGTATTAGAAGAAGGGATGGTAGAAGAGTGACAGACAGAAAGAACAGACATTTAAACATGTCATGACTTTAAATATACTTTTATTTACATCCCCTCAAGTGAGGCATAGTCATAATTGCCTTCTGGCATTTTGGGCATAATTACATTTTAGATCTTATAAAAATACTGTTAAATTTGATATAGATGAGATTCTTTACATAGAAGGTAGATGAAATGACACAAAAATGTAATGATACTGATTACAAAACAGTAAAAACTATGTTTTCAATGCCTACATGTTGTCAAGCCATAATTTTTCTGTAATTAAGGAAGCACAATCACTGACCACTAGTGGAGAGGTTACATCAGTGCGTGGTCTGGGAATCTGTGCCATCCATCTCCTGAAGAACATGCCTTCTAAGAATAATCTCAGTATGGACCTTGACAAGTCTCCCTCGTGTGCCATAATTAGCCCCATTGTGGGTGATTATAATTAATTATTCCCAGTTCTGGATATGTTTCAAAATAGTGAAATGCTGTAATTCTTAAGCTCTAGAAATGACATTTAGCTTAATGGAAACATATTGCTTTACACAGTTGCCCAGAATTACCTACTGCCAGAGCTGACTCTGGACACACAGTGTAATCACTGCTTATTTTTGGATGGTGTCCATGTTGGGGAGTGGCAGCTTTCCCAGTGCCAATGAAGTGCATTGTCCAAGTCTATTGCAAACATTTCCAGTGATATGATGTTTTATTCTCTGCTTTATCTCTCACCTCAAAATTGAACAGAATGAACCAAAGGCAAAAAGGAAAGAAAGGAAAGTTTAAGTGAAGATGCAAATATTAAGCAGTATAGACTATATTTACCCATTTTTAAATATATGAACTTTATTATCATTTCTAAAGAAGTTAATCAGGTGTGAATACCTTTTGTTGGTACATAAATTTTCATACCAGATGTGCTTTGTTCAATTTTTACTTATTTATTTTTATTTAAATTTTATTTTTGGATATTTTAACTTCTTACTTTGCAATCTATATAAATTTTTTTTTTGCATAGAAAAGAGCATGGAAAATTAATACAGAATGTTATTATGTACCTTTACCCAAAACCTCTAAAGTAACATCATAGAAAGTGATAATTATTGAATTGATAAATTAACATTAATACAATACTATTAAACAAACTATAGGCCTTATTTGAATTTCAACAATCTTCCACTAAAACAATATAACCATAAAAAGATGAAAAATATGTCCCTGGCTGGCATAGCTCAGTGGATTGAGTGCGGGCTGTGAACCAAAGCATCCCAGGTTCAATTCCCAGTCAGGACACATGCCTGGGTTGCAGGCCACGGCCCCCAGCAACTGCACATTGATGTCTCTCTCTCTCTCTCTCTCTCTCTTTCTCCCTCCCTTCCCTCTCTAAAAATAAATAAATAAAATCTTAAAAAAATAAAATAAAATAAATGAAAAATATAAATGCATATCAAATCTCTAGAGAGAGAGCTCTACATACAAAGCAATAGGAACAATAAAAAAAGGAAAAAAGGGACCATTCTACTTAAAAATATTTAAGAATGCATATGTCAAAAAATCATAGACAAGAACAGAAAGAAAACTAGGGAATATTTTAACCTAAAATCTGAGCAACACTGCAGAGTTAGAACATCACTATGTATGCCATTATAGTAGTTACAATATATTAAATATAGAAATAATGTATATTAAAGTCTCTTTAAAAACTCTAATCTTTTGCTTGTGTTATGTATACAAATATTTGCAAAAAGATATTACTTGAGTGAATCAAGATAACTCCTCATATATATAAAACATATTATGGTATTGAAATTCAAATGAGCATTTTAGAATTTCAACTCATAGCTAAAGTGGAAAAATAGACAAAAAAAATTCTTTTGAACTGAGGCAGCTGTACTTCCTCTTTGCATGACAGAAAAATAAAATAGGAAATGATGTTCAAAATCCTGTGAGAATTGTGAGTGAAGAACTCTTACATTTGATGCATCCTTTTATTCAGTTATTCATTTACTCTGCATAAATTTTGTTCAATTTGCTCATGGTGCTCATCAAACTGACTCTCTTAGAGTCATTATGCAGATGTACTTTACCATCACTCTGTGTGCTCCTGTAGAGACATTATGAAGTTGAAATCTTGGGGGTATTACAAAGTTCTCTGCTCTCCTGTAGCCGCCTCTCTGAAAGGAGGCTGGGTACTAAGGTACTGGGGCAAAGACTAAAAGCCTGAGTGTAATGAGACAGATATCATTAAATGCTCTAAGGGCTTAGATTCAGATGGCTAAGAGTCTGTGCCTTTTACGTTAGAAGTAACAAACATTTACCTAAGAATCTAGGAAAATTATGAGAAATTTGTTAACTGATCTCTCTGTATTCAGACAAGCACGAGAGACTATACTTATGAGGCCTGGAAGACAAAATAGTTTCTTAGTATCAAGAAACCCTTCGGAAGCAATTAACTGGTGTCAGGAATATAAGAAGACTCGGAAACTACCTCCTTAAAGAGAAAGCAGACCCTGATGTGTCTGTGGCTGTATTATAGTAGTGTCCAAGGTGACTTGCATCCAGGTGGTGGTACAAATAAATGCTTGCTGTCTTTAGGGATGCTTTCAGAAATTAGCATCGATTGCAGATTTGAAACTAAAATTATGAAATGATTTTATAAAATAAGATATAAAATACAAGACAGAAGTTAAATATAAAGCCAAATAAAGTTCCATCTTTTTTCTAATGAATGGGTTAATGCTAATACATCAAAAATCTAACGAAAGTAAGTCTTTTACATTACAGATTCTACTCAGTTTATCTAAATTCATTGTGTTTCTTATCATAAAGGACTTGCTCATGAACACAGCATAGAAAAACGCAATGTGACTAACATATTTAAAGGAATTCTTAGTATTTTGTCATTCTTAGTAATAAAACAATGTTTCTTTCCTCAGAATAAAAGCTTGAAAAACAAACTCTTGTCAGGAAACAAGCTGTGTGGCATCCATGCAGAAGAGGTGAGTCAATTTTCTCTTCTAGCTTCAGCTGGATAGAAACAATATTAGTGCCAATTTTTTTTAACCTAGATATATAGTGACCTTTTCCCCTTGTAACATACACACAAAGATTGGATTAACTAAAGAAAACTTTTAGCTATCTTTGGATGTTTCAACACTGCATACCCCAAAATAATGATTGATGCATTTCTTAGAGGAAAAGAAAAGTTATTCTGCTTAATCCAGTTTTAACTAAAATCAATTTCCTGTACTCTTGATTACCCAAATCTACTTTTACTTTATGATCCCTGATTTAATGTTGTAGAAATGGAGCTCATAGTAAGTAATTCTTAGTGGTGGTAATGAGATAGTAGTGACAGTGTCCATAGTGATTCTTTGTACCTCAAGGAGAGGAGACTTGAGTCATTGAGCTAGTCATTTCCTCTGAGAAGCACAAACAAAGATGGGAATAATAAGGAATAGGACTGAGAGTCTTCATACCGTGATGCAGATCTGATGCCTGTGAAGGAAGAGGGAAGGAAAAGCAGTGTGAGGAACAAGAACAGCGGCTTAAACAGGTTGAAAGTTGACCCCATCCCATAACAGCCTCGACATAAGGCACAGAGCTGGTGAAACACCTCAGTCATTTCCTAAATATGCCACCAACTTTTGTTTCTAGAACCTCTTCCTGTTATTGTCACCTTCTAGCAGGAGAAACAGGGAAGATTCCCTGGTGACTCACAAGCATTGCTTTTTAGGAGTGCAACTAGGAAGCAGTGGCATGCCAGAGCCAGAGCCCTTGCCTAGCCAAGTTGAAGGAAAATGGAAAACATCATTAGTTAGGTAGTCATATGCCCATTCAGAATTTTGCATTTCTTTTGTTAAAGAAGGTGAGAATACTCCCTGATGGACAACACGTAAAAGTGATTATTATAAACATTATAGTTAAAGTCTAACATGAAATTTAATAAACTACATTATAACATCCATACAATAATATTATATATGAAATGAATATACATTTTCAATACCTGGGAATTACAGGCATTGCCCCATAAGATAAAAATCAAACTGAATGGGTTGTAGTATTTCTTTCACTAGAGTTTTCTATTTGGGTAGATATCACCTCTTACAGTGTTTGTATTTTCTAAGTATCTAGAAATATTACATATGTAGTACACAACTTCTTAGTATTATTTTCTAGAGGGTAAGCATGTAGAACAGTTTTGAATAAGAAATATGTGGACTGAAGCTATGTTGTGAGATGGTTGCCATGATCCTGTGGGCCCCATAATACTCACGGACAGGGTCCAGCAGGAGTACAGCCTGCTTGAGTGTGGTTGGAAGGGTAATAATATGGGTGTAATCATTTATAGTTTAACTTGAGCATTTTACCTAAAATATCGTATAGTGTGATACTGTTATGTTACCAAATTACGTGCTTATGATCATGTAATCAAAGATATTGTAATAGGTCAAGGGCGTTATCTGTGCCTGCCCATGTACCCGAAAGGGAGACGACTCCCAGGAGAAGGGTTCTGTAGTGTTTAGAACCAAACACAGCCTGGGTCCACCTGCATTTTTAAACCTCTTGCTTCAGAAGTGACTCATATTTTTTCTTCATCTCAATTCCTTAAAGAATATATTATTTTGCATTCTTATTTATGATGTACTAGACAGTTTGTATATTAGTATTGCATAACATTGAAATGAATATATTCATTATAATTTGCACATTTACCCTATCCCTTTATTTATGGATCAAATGGAGACTTTAAATTTGGGTTATAAGGAATGCATACATTTTTGTCCTAATAATTTATCTTCAATATAAGTGAAAATTATTATTATTTCTTTCACCACCACCACCACCCCCACCAAAACAAAAGATAATGACTTCTATTGGCTTAGAAGCTAAAAGGAGCTTGTTTTTTGGATCAGTGATCCTAAATGTTCATTATCTGTAGGTGCATAAAATGTCCAAGTCCCACTGACAACTAATGGACTGTCATTATTTTACTCTGCCAAGGAAAATATTAAAAACAATAGAAGGTACTGCAAATATCATGTACCATCATATCATTATTACTATTATTTCATGAAAGAAATGGCATTTGAAATGGCATATGAAATTGTAGGGAAGAACAGTTTCCAACTGAATGATAGTCTCTAAAAGGGAAAACAAGCCTGGCTAAAATGGTCCATCATAGACAACGTCTTCTATCATTCTTACCTCCTTTATCTTCTTTTCATTATAGTTATAATCATCATCATCAGAATCATCATCACAAAGTTTATTTTTGCTATGGACTTGAGAAAATTGATGACTCACAGGGACCAACATTTAGAATTACGTTTAAGATCATTAACATATGTAAAAGAAAAATACTAAAATTCCCAATACAGTAACATCTCAATTGTTTGAAGAGTACCCCTCTGAAAAACTTAATTTTTAAAAATGATGGCAACAAGCTAAAAGAAAACAGTCAGGGTCAGCTGGGTTTCAAACCCATGTGCACCACAAAGTAGAGATGTGCTCGCTCAAAATGCATTTATTCTCACTGATCATATTCCTATTAAATATTTAGATAGGATTTTGCTTTTTAACTCACTGAATATTAGAAGAGTGGAATACCAGATGCAGAGAAGTGATGAGTGACTGTGATGAAAATTTCTAACAAATTATTTTTAAATAACTATAACTAAGCTCAGGAAATCTAGCAGTTTATGTTCACTTTGTGCAGGAAAAAGACTTGTAGGTTTTTATTATAGTTTCTGAATGAATTAATGCATGATGCAAAATTGATATTTTAATCATAAATCCAAGCTATGAAGAAAAGTTTAAATTATATTCTGTGCATTCAGTATGAGTATGCATTAAAAAATGAATACCCACATGGTTTAAATGAGTCTTTTCTCCCACTTCAATATGACACTTCAATTGTATGAGAGAAATTAAAATGAAGTTGGTCAAATCCCGCACACCCGATGGAGTGGGAATCTCCCATTCCTCATAGATATTGGTCAACACTAGTTTGGAAAAAAACTGAAAGTATGTTTTCCTAAGACACTGTTTTGGTTATACATGGGTCCTAGACAGCAGATTGCAACAGCAGGGAGATAAAGCTAATCAACTGTGCATTTGAAGTTGAGAAAGATAACAGAAATAGTCCTTTACTGAAATCGGTAGTGCACCATTAAAGACAGCCATGAAAACCAGGAAATGTTTTGGAAATAAAGTTCATATAACAAGGGAGAGATGCTGCGTGTGAAATATCATGACCTTGAGTCACTTGGGAGTCTTTGTGTGAGCAAGAGCAGAGTTGTGGGAAATAGAGTCCGGAGGCAGAAGTGTAAATTCAAGGTGCTGAGGGCTCAGGTGTGAGTTTCCTTCTCAAGAGCCAGCAGCAACCGTATGCACATCACAATGGCTCCTGGTATTCCTCTGCACTATGTCATGCATTTTGCTTTCACTAACCATAGCAAGAAAAAAAAAAGATGCGTTTTTATGAAAATGAAACTTTACGAGTTTGTAAGAAACCGCAAATCCTTGCTGCTTCTGGGTATGCAGTTTAACTGCATACTTCTGGATTGTTAATATGTCAAACTACCCCTCCAGTCCTCCCTTGCTTCCTACCACACTCTCTTCACCGTTCTCCTTCTCCCTTCTGCTCCCTTCTCTCTTTCTCTCTGTCCCTCTGCCTCATCATCCTTTCCCCTCTTTCCTCCTCTCCTTTCTCCTTCCTTCTTTTCTCATTTCTTTTTATTCCTTTTCATTTTCTGTTTGTTCTCTCTTATCAGCTTCCTGATTCAAAGGATCGCAAAATGCAGGTGGCTCACAATAAGGATGTCTGTGAAAAACTATGTTTCTAAAATTAGAACCTTGCAGTGGTGTATCATTTACAGCACTTTCCATTTTATACTTTAATTGGCAGTACTTCCAACATTGGATAATGACTTGGAAATTAGCACCATAATCTCCTATTTTGCAAACTTGACTACCTTGCATGGTTAGAAATGTTCTGAATATACTAGGAAACAATCACACTACACTTGCAGTTGGTTTAGTGGAAGACTCATATACACTGAGTGTATGCTGAGAAAATTATAATATTTCAAATATAAGAGTGGACTTCATTTGTTAAAACAGAGTTTATGAGAATATAATAGTACCAGGAGGATATTGTGTTTATTATACACTATGACCAGCTACTCTTAAAATTGAATTTTATTAAGATATAATTTACATACAGTATATTCCATTTAAGTACACATTTTTAATGGGTTGGATCAGTGGTGGGAGGTGTGGAGAGGGGAAATGGAGACAGTGTACTTAAAAAACAATACAAAAAATATAACATTACCATTACTCCAAATTTTCCTTTTTCTGTTTTATAATCTCGACAATCAATCCTCAGCCCATGTAAACTACTAACCTGATTGCTCTTCCTATTCTCTCATTTATATTTTTGTAGGATATTATATGAATGATCTTATAGAAAATATAGTTTCTAGTGACTGGATTCTTTTACATGGTTTAATGCATTTGACATCCATCTACATTGTTATATGTGTCCATACTTAATCCTTTTTAAAACATTGCTCAATAGTATTCTAATGTTCCATTTCATGGCTATACCATGATTTGTTTATTATTCACCAGTTAATGGACATGCAGTTTTTTCCAGTATCTGACTGTTATGAAAAGAGATGTTCTAAACACTCATCTACACATTGTATTTTCTCTTGGGTAGTAGATACCTACAAAGGGTTGCCCTATAATGCAGTATGTATATGCTTATACTGTGTTGCCAAGTTGTTTCTCAAAGTGACTGCATTATTTTATGTTCTCACTCAACGATTTTTTCAATCATCATTGTTCAGGTGACTATGGTAATCTATCTGTGTTCTATTTCTTCTACTGAAAAATTGGAACCAATAATCTTGATGCAGAGAGACAAATGACTGAGGTTTTTAGGTTAGAATGTTCAAATTTGGATCTGTTCTGGAAAAATGGAATCATGCTCATCCACTGTGGTTTACCAGAATGTATTTCAATGTGGTAGCCAAACACGTCTGCTGAAAGAGATTCCTGTTACAAGCATTTGTGCATTAGTAATGGCTCTCTTAAAAAGCTCATACTTCCAAAGGGCAGGCACCCTTAAACTCAGCGTCTTGGCCCTCTAAGCGTTTCCTCACCTCCTGTCACTTCTGCTTGCTGCCTTCTCCTTGAACACATGTCAGATACAAAATTGGTGGACAATTTAAACTTATCCATATTTAATCTTCCCTTAATAAGTAATACAAATAAGCAGTGAAAACCAAAGCATACAATTGCAGAGATATATTTAGCATTTAAATTGGGGTTGGCCAGCCCAGCTGGTGTGTCTCACTTGGGTGGGTGTTGTCCCAGGAACTGAATGAAAGGTCACCAGTATGATTCCTGGTCAGAGCACATGGCTGTGTTGCCGGCTGTTCCCTCAGGCATGAATGGAAGTTAACCAACTGATGTTTTTCTCTCCCATCAATGCTTCTCGTCCCCTTTCTCCCTCCCTCCCCCTCCCTGTAAAACTCAAAAATAACATATTAAAATTAGTGTTGGCCAGGCCTGGGTACACAAATTCTTTCCATGAGAGGAAAAAGAGTAAGTAATTTTCTCTTAATATTACCTTTTAAAAATATGTTTTTGTTTTGTTTTGTTTGTTTGTTTTTTAGCAGGCTTTGGTTTTCTCACTTTGCCTAGAATAACCGGATGCCCTACTCCCAAAGTGGAGATTAAGCTTTTCTGTTTCATTTCCAAAATCAATGGACTCTTTTGCTTAGCAGCAAAGTTTATTTTTGTGAAGTTTGAAAGAATTTTAATCATTAAGTTTGAAAATGTAAATGAAATTAAAGCACTAATCCATGTTTCTGCTCTTGCAGTCAAAAAAAATCCAAGCGCAGCTGAAGGAGCTTCGTTATGGGAAGAAGGATTTATTATTTAAGGTGAGCATCTTTCTCCCTCCCCCTCCACCTTGTTAGCCCAGTTTGTAAATTATGTAAAATATGATTTAGCTTAAATTTCCAGATGTTCACATAAATTAGAGTTGTATTTGACTGTATTTAAGATGTTCTCATTTTATTACCTACTTAATTAATGGAGATAAATGCAGATACGGTTTCCTGGGTATGTTCTTAATCAAAGGCAGGCATCATTACAAAGTATTTAAAGTCCCTTTGTAACCTCCAATTACTGTAATTCAGCATTGAGGAATATTATCTTTTGGAATATTTACATTAAGGAGAGTGTGTATCCAGTAAGTGTACAGAGGTGAGGTTCACTGGTAACCTACATTCTTAACTTCCAGAGATCCTTCATAAATATCATTAAGGGTTTTCATATTTAATTATTGTTATTTGATTTTGATTATTGATCCTTTTCTTTCTTTATAAGACAATCAATAAAGATCTCTGCATAGTTAGACATCTATTGCCACCTGTGGTTATGATAATAAATAATACCCCACACCAAAGAGATCCATTTGGTAATCTCTGGTACCTGGTAATGTCATCTCTTATGGCAAAGGGAACTTTGCAAATGTGATTAAGTTAAAACCTTTGAAATGGGAAGATGATCCCAAATTATCCAGGTGATTCCTAAATATCATCACGCAAGTCCTGATGACAGTGGGACAAAAAGACCTAAGTAAGAAAAAAAAGTTCTGTGACCACAGAAGATGGGGAAGGAAAGACAAATGATTTCTCCCTTAGAGCCTCCAGAAAGAACCAGCCCAACCAACACAATAATTTTAATCCCATATAATTCATTTTAGACTTCTGACTTCCATAACTATGATAGAATAAATTTGTGTTGTTTTAAACCATGTCGTTTATGATAGTTTGTCATAGCAGCAAAGAATAACTAAAGATAATTTATTTTTATCTCCTTTGAGCACAAGAAATAAGAGCCAGGTGCCCTTAACTGTTATGGTTATGATACATTTGCATAGTCAAATGCAGTAGAATGGTAGGATATTAGGCTCTTAGTTGTAAGAACAATAATTAGTTTAAAAAAATAACAAGTACAAATTATTTGTGTGCGGTAATTGCTTTTAAAAGTGTTTCCACAATGGTGATCAGCTCAATCTATAAGTGTCAGGTTTAAAGAGGTATAATGTTTCATTTTATAGAAGAGTTGAAAAATCCTGTAATTTTTAAAAAATGGAAACTGTAGGAAATGACTTATCTCTCTTCTTTGGTGCCTTCACTTTTGGTGTAGAGTCATGAGAAGTCATTCCTTTTATGTCAGCCGATACTCATGAAATAAATACTCGTTCTGTGCAAGGTGCATCATACTGCTTGCTCTTCCATAAATACACTCCCTGGCGTTCCATTCCTTTGACCTTAGTTGTAACAGGACATTCCCCAGAACACCAAGACACTGCTCATTGATTATCATTAGAGCTTACCGATCTGTCCTCAGCACTGTGCACATTGTATGAAATAAATAGATAAAACAAAGGTATGAGACACAGGACATTTGCTTTTCTCACCTTAATCTTTCATTCTGAGCCTCTTGTGATCAGGCTGTCTTAACCCATACATTCAGCTTTGCTTTAGCTTTTTGTAGTCATCAACAGTAAATAATTACAATAGAAAATGTGTGTGTGTTTTTGTTTGCAAAGAACTTTCTGGTTGTCTGTGGGTTAGTTTAACTTAGTATCAGGAATGTGATAGCACAAATTCAAGTTTAATAGAGCTGGTAAATTTTAACTATTAGACAACCAGATTTATGTAAAGATAGAAATTCATTTGAGACTTTTAAAATATTTTTTAAGATTTTATTTATTTATTTTTAGAGAGGGAATGGAGGGAGAAAGAGAGAGAGAGCGAAACATCAATGTGTGGTTGCTGGGGGTCATGGCCTGCAACCCAGGCATGTACGCTGACTGGGAATCGAACCTGCGACACTTTGGTTTGAGCCCACACTCAATCCACTGAGCTACACCAGCCAGGGCTTGAGACTTTTAAAATCTTTTGAATTTAATTTCTCAAATTGAAGAGTTATAGAAAGGAAAGTTGGGAAAAGAAAATGAGCATGCATACTAATGTTCAGTGATTTATTTTTTGTAACATGCCAATTACAAAGAAATTATAATTGTTGAATATAGATTAGTAATTTACCACCTTTCAGAAATTTCTAAAATGTTGGTTTGTTGAAAATCTTTTTGACTTGGAAATGAGACATTTTATATAAGCCTTGCTATTTCATGTAATTTTAGGAGGAATACTTGTGTATAAAATCAGGTGAATTGGGTACGACTAGACTATGAAGTTGTGTAAATTAGAATATCCTCAGATTATACTCTGATTAAACTATGTTTAACAGAAAGTTTTTTAATAAATAAAATAAGAAGAGGTCTAGAAGCATGAGAATTTTATAGCTTGTTCAGGAGCTAAGCAATGTCAACAAGAACCTACATTTTCTCTCTCTCTTTCTTTTTTATTTTTTTGTTTTTCTTCTTTCCATGACATGATCCTCAATTTACTAACTTGTTCTAAGATTTGACGCCTCCTTGTATTATGATAGTGGCTAAAAATCTATAGGCTGCCCCCCTTCAGCTATGTATAAAGTCAGAGTTTAGTGTTGCAATTTTTAAAAAGGAGAGAAAAATTTTAACAAGTCATTACAGACTTTGTCATGTATCCATGCAGAAGTGAATCCTTAGTGTTTTCAGCTTTTGTTGGGAAAGATTGTTTCTTTTTTACATAAAGTAAAATGGAAGGGGGTTACCAACACCAAGCAACAGACAGTTTCTGCTACAATGTAATTATCCACTCATCTTGATAGCGGTAATGGTAAACTCATCTGATTTGCTTGCTGCTATAGCCACAATGTACCTTTAGGTCTTGCATAAATGTATTTTAAGTGAATGAATGCATACATACATACATATGTATGCACATATATACATACATATGTTGATGTATCAGGGCAGTAGATAGTAGAAACTCATATATTTAACCCTAACGATTTTGTGACCACAGAAATTCACCTATGAACCTTTAAAAATGAGCCCACAAAGGAAGATAATATGTCCAATAGTTTCCCTGAGAATCTGTTAAGTTTTAAATAGAATTGATGGGTTTGGTAAAGACAGACTTTAAAAGAGCAATGCCTGTTGCTGAAGCACTTAAATTTTATTTTAAAAATAATGTCATGTGCTGACAACTGCAATGCATGTTGATAAATTGTATCCTTATTAATGCCTGAGAGCTGGTTTTTGATGGGGGAAGGCTCCCAACGGTAGTGAACATTCTCTGCTAAAGAAAGCAGTGAGGCCCTGCTGACTATGAACTGCCCAGGACTGGGGTTCCTTCTTATCCTTCTTGATTGCACTTGGAGCTGATAGTCTCTGGAATACATGCTTTCTGTTTTTGCTGTTCTATTTACATTTGCATATACACTTCTTTACTATTCCAGAAATATGATTTTTTCACTGTAGGCAGATTTCAAAAGTATCAAAAAAGTATGAAGCGAAGAGATAACATTTAAAATACCACCACTAAGAAGAAACAGAGTATTTTGAAATATTTCAATCTAGTTTCTTTAGGTATAATAGGCTTTGTGATTAATATATATACACACATATGTATCTACTACTGTATATTATATATCCTACTTTTCACATAATTTTAAAACATAAAAAATCCTTTAATTATAATTGTGTTTCAAGAAACTTTAAATGAACGTTTTCCATGATATCTACATGCCGAAGTGGCTTAAATATGTGAGGATTCATATGTATAGGTGGGCATTATGATTTCAGTTTATGCTATGATGAAAAGGAGGCAGGGAGGGATTAACCAAACAATGTCTATGCACAATCCAGGGGCATGGACAACCATACGGGGACTGGCTTGGGATGGGTGGAAGTGGGGAAAGGGAGAAAAGTGGGAACAACTCTGATAGCATCAACAATACAAATAAAATTCAAAAAAATGAACAGAAAAGAAACAAAATTTATTTATTATTTTTAACTTGAAGTACAGTTTTTTTTAATGTGCATTCTGGTGGTTTTTAGATGTTCATTTCTTTTTTTTTTTTTTTAATTGTTGTTCAAGTACATTTGTCTCCATTCTCTCCTACTCCCTACCCCAGCCATTCCCACCTCCCAGCCTCAATCCAACCCCCCCTTGGCTTTGTCCAAGTGTCCTTTATATGTGTTCCTGACAACCCTTCTCCCCTTTCCTTCCATTACCCCTTCGCACCTCCCCTCTGGTTACTGTCAGTTTGTTCTTAATTTCAATGTTTGTTCTCACCTATAAGTGGAACCTAGTCAACAAAACAATGGAGCAAAATATAACCAGAAACATTGAAATGAAGTATAGTTTTATATTAAACATGTATCTAACTAAAATAATTTAATACAGTTATTAAAAACTATTAAATGCTAAGTAAGGGTACCTAGTACACATTACTTTTTTGAATTTGGATATTTAATAACTTAATTGAGGAATAATTGACAGACATTATTGTACATATTTAAAGGGTACAACATGGTGATTTGCTGCACACATACATGGTGGAATGGTTACCGAGGTCAACATAATTAACGTATCCAATCACCTCACATAGTTAACTCTTATTTTTTTGTCTGAGGTGAGAATGATTTAGTTCTGCTCTGTATTAAAAGTTGTACCAATTTACATTCCTACCAACAGTGTATACGTATTCCCTCTTCTTTATACCCTTGCCAAAATTTGTTATCTCTGTCTTTTTGATAATAGCCACCTTTGAATTCTATGACATCCTACTATTAGCTGTAGTCATCATGCTGTACACTTGATCCTCAGAACTTGTTCTTATAAACACAACTTTGTATGCTTTGATGGCCATCAACCCTTTCCCATTCCTTCCTGACCCTGGCAGCAACTATTTTCTTCTCTGTTTCTATGAAATCTCCTTTGTGTTTGTTTTTTTTTTTAAGGGGGGAATATTTGTG